TGCCTCCAACGGAGCTCAGCGCGTACATGCAGCACTGTCGTAGCACTAGACATGGTTTGTCTGCATATGGGACATTGCAGGACACTTCCGACGAATGTCGGACGAAGCACAGAACGTATACGGATTCATCCTTCAAGCAGAAGTGTGTTAACGTTTAGCCGAGGAATGTCGATTCCGGAGACTAAGAGGCTGGTCCAGTGACACTCGACAAGACCATGGTGTAACAACAGCATGCTGAAACGGCCGCTCATTGAATTGCTTCAAGCCTGTGGTATGAATTAGTATGCATGGTAGCCTGCATGGCTCCACCAGGTGCCAGATTGATCGAACTGAATCAGTTCAACTGACTTCTTTAAAGACATCCAGAAGTATTCCGTGTAATTCCGGCTCCATTGAATCAACCGTGGGAAGCTTCGACACGTTGAGGACCCCGACAGTTGATGAACTATTCATGACAACTCCGTGCAGCTTTACCGTGCAGGCTGAGATGACTCATATGTCGTGCGGACTCGTCATCAGAGGCAGCCAGTGGGACTTGGACTCGAAGCTTCACATGCGCAGTGCTGGCGGGCTGATCTTGACGTGGTCTCAATAATTGATCCTTTCTTTCACGCGAGGGTTACTGGGTGTTCAGGGCGGGATGGTCCCGAGAGTGTCCTGTTCGCAACATGTTTCTAGGCACAGTTCGGGCTGCATGTTGAACCTCAAGAGCATTTGGGCGGCCTTTCGCGGCAGTGGGCGACAGAAAGCCAAGCATGCAATAACAGTGGAACCCGCTGCAACCTTTACCAACAAAGCGGCGGAGTTGAGTTCATCGATTTGGCTGGCCTTTCCAAGTCATTGAGGATATGGTGGACAACCTGGCCGGAAGGAATGCTGGAATCAAAACCCGGAGCTAAGCTAGGTGGGGTGGAGTGAACGGACTCTTTGATGTCGAGGTGCCCGGGCTGGGTCTATGCTTCGACTCGGAACCTCGTCACCAAGGCTGGGCTAGACGGCCAGGTGCTTGATGTATTCGGGGCCCTCTTGACATGGAGGTCCTGACTGAGTCACAGATTTACAGGGCCTCCGGCTTTTGCCGCAGAACGCGTGCATGTGCGGGATGACGATGACATCGATGATGATGGCGATGCTAGGGATGATGAGAATCTTGACAGTGGTGGGTGGTTGGGTGGCGCCGGGGGGGAAGGGGGTAAAGGGTTGGTTCTGAGGTGTGGTTCTGGGGCTGTATCAGGGTATGTTCTGGGGGCTGTATCGCAGGTTGTTGCCCGGCTGTTTCCTTTCTATTATCGTCTCTTCCTTTCTTTCACCTTATCCGTTTTATCAGTTCTTGCCTCCTCATTCGTTCCATCCTTTACCTCACCATCTTCATCGTCGCCTGGTTCGTTTCTCATCCTCATTTTTCTTGAAATATCTTTCAGTCTCTTTTTATCATTATCATAAATCTCCTCCTATCGTCTTTTTCTGTTTTCTGGAACATTCCCCCCAATCGTTTTACCAAAGATTTATAACAGCTTAATATTATAAACATTTTTTTGAGAGGATTGAAGTTTATTTTAAAAGGTCACCATATTCTTTATCAAATTATGTTATTGTGTTTTCTACCCACATTTTATTTATTGTAAATTCAGTGCATTTTCATTAAGTCTAATGTTATCTATCTGTTTAATATATTTCACTTGAATGTCATTTGTTTTCAAAGTGTTATAGTCCATCTTTCGTGCTTTTCTAAGGCGCATTGTCTTTAAGGTAGTTCTTAAATCAAAACATTACCCAGGACTAATAATAGCTTAGTACTATACATATATGTTTAAGCTTCATAAACAACATCATCTAAATAGTCATGTAATTCATTGACCTTACCCATTAAATCCATTAGGTATTCATACATTAACGATTTACATAACTCTCTATCAGGATACGATTTTTCTTAATGTCATTACAAATGTCGCACCTGCTGTAATCTGAAACGGCCATAGTCCCTACCGTATTAGGGCCCTTGTCTTTAAGTCGTTTAACCATCATAGTGTGTATATAGTATGATACTTAGTGTGCTCTCAGGTTTCAATGGCTTTCCTACAGTTCTGCATACATTTTAGTTTTACACTTGTTTCTGGTAATCTCCTCGCCATATCGCCACAATGAACCATTGATAATATTTCTACTTTGCTGATTACATTTAAACTGTTTCCTTCTTCTTCTATGTGACTGCACCAATTGTTTATGATATCTAATTGTTTTGTTATTGTAACAGTCAATGTCCTCGTTCAATTTTTCCAGTTCTTCTTCATGTCACTTGATCTCCTCTTCGCACTGGCGGCGGCGGCGGCGGGGGTGGTGGTGGTGGTGGTGGTGGTGGTGGGCGGTGGGGTGTACATGGACTACTCATCTTCGCGCGTCCCGTCACAAAGCGCAATTGCGATGTGATACTATGAATCACAGAACCTCCATAACAAGAGCTCTCCCGGAATGCTGCATTGCTTCGAACTCTGGCTCCGGCATTTGCTTAGATTTGCTCCGGCCTGATTGCGTCGCAGGTTCAGCCTGACAGCCATGCCGCAACCATAGCATGAGTAGACAGAAAAGATCGCCAGAGCCATTGAGACAACAATCGCCGCCATCATGCTAACCCAAACACAGGTCGCGGGCCAATTATCGCACTTCTGTCTATGTCTGTGTCTCTCAAGATTTCTCGCGTGTCTCTGCAGCTGCTCCGTAGAATTCCTTGTCTTTCAACTCACTGCCTTCTGTTCCGGCCCAGCGGCGACTGAACGCAGGCTCTCAGGTCCCGTGGGTTGATCCGCTGGGTTCCATCAACATCGAAGAGGTCGAAAGCCTCTTTGACCTGGCGAAAGGACGACAAAGATTTTTCGTGGAAAGTTCTAAAAAGGATGTCGCAAGATGAGCACGAAAGGCAACAAAAACATCCATCCAAAGACCCGCGTTCAAGACCTGGTCGAGTCGAGAAATGGGGTCCGCGTTGCCTGACCCTCATTGGCATATGCTCATATGGAACCATACCGAACTTCGCACCAGCCCCCCAGGGCATAAAGCAAAGTGCTGTGAGCCTAGGCAGGTCCCCCTATAGTTGGAGTTTCGGTCACGAGCTTGCCCGTCATGCGCTTGGGAGACTTCCATCGTGCGACCTTGCCTGCTGGTACTCTTGCTATGCCTTGCCATCGTGCACTTACTACCCTTTGTCGCTTATGTCATCGCGTAAACATGTGACTCAATGCTCTGTTGCTGTACTTTGGCTTCGCTGCTCCGATTGCTTTTAGCACTGACAAGCTGGTATTCATTGAACTGCATCTAGGGTCTTCTTCACCGGGATGTGTGCTGTGCTGGTGAGTTGCTAGTTCTGCTGCTGGCATGTGTCTTGCACGATGGTCATGTGCTCATCATGGCTTCGTTCCTCATCATCTCGGTATCATGCGCATCCTGATTGGAAAACTCATGACATGTCACTGTGCAGCTGTCTCAGTCGATGAAAGCAGCTGCATCTTACCACTCCGTGCTGTGATAATTTCCATGTGTTTCCCGATGTTTCCTGGCTCTAGTAACCTCCCAGGTCCCGTTCTCACACCACATCCATCGAAGCCTCCTCGATCTCATCTTGCATCAGCCCCTGTCGGACTTTAGTTCAGGGCCGGGCCGGCATTACTTGTTCTGGACCGCTAGACAGGGTTTGAAGATAACTGCCGAATCTCTGGTGTCACGACCAGCATTTCCTCAACCAATGTCCTCCCAATTGATGCGACAAGCCGCTACTCGTCTTGCTTGTCACATGAATTCTCTGAGATTGCTTGGCATTTTGTCTGCGAAGTGTCATGCAATTCAACTGCGACTTTGATGTTCTCCTCAAACAGGCGCCACTGCGGCACTGGGTATCATGGTTCTGCGGCTTGAAGTTTGGGGGTCGAGATGCCAAAGGATGTCCAGAGCTTGTGAGGACTGCGTGGGACACGTTGCGGAGAATGTCAGAAGATTCACAAGTACGAGTCTCGTAGCAAGTGTACTCATTCAATGACCTCTGAAGTAGTGTCATGACCATAGCGAGAACTAAGGAACTAGGATGTCCTTTAGGAGCTGCTTGCATGGGTGACCAGGCTTCGGTAATTTTGCAGGGTCGCTTGATTGGGCTGTCGGCACTGGCGCCATGAGCTAAACAGCGAATATGTACCAACAGCATACATCTCCAATCGCATTTTGGAAACCCACTCCCACAACCGAACAGGTCCATCTGAATCACACAAGCGCCAAGACGATGCATAGTCCACCCAATGTTGCCGCGGGACCGGGCGCTCATATCGCTTCCATGACCAGCCCTCGCGCGAGGACCGCCCGGCCATGGCAACTTGGGCAATTTCAGCTCCCTGCTGGTCACAAGTACAAGTCTGTTGTCGAGGGTTGAATGTTTGGAAGCCGGCTAGCTGACTAGCAGTACAGAAGTCTGCCAAAATCTGCTGATATTGAATGCTATTGCATCACTGCCTACTGCTGTCACGCCACGATGCCTGCTCGTTCTGGTGGAACTGCTTGCTTGCTGCAGGTTCTCTGCTTCCCTTGGTTGCTTCCGAAAATGCTTGCAATTACTCAAAAAAATACCGAAGTAGATCTTGCACTAATGTTGGCCGTCTTCCGTCCAATTATGTAGTGGCGAGGCTGCCACGACAAGATCCTGCCACACCACGGTGGAGGTGGTGATGAGGGGGAGCGAGAACATGAGTCACAGCCAGCGTGCACATTGTGGTGAAAGACGCTGCGCTTCCTTTTAGCGGCGAGCTTGTGTCTCACGCCCGGACGGTCGCACTGAGCTACGCTCAAGTTAGACTCGAATAGCTCAGGTTGCAGCTTCCTCATGCTGAGCATCCCGCCAGTCCTCAACTCGTTTAGGAGCATTGCGTCGAAATGAAGCCTGTGTCTGCCTGACGCCTGAAAATTGAGCACCTCCATTCCACTCTTCAATTTTGTGGTTTTGCGCTCTCCAGAACAAGAAGAGATTAAAAAGAGTGTGCACACGGCAAATAAGGCGGATGAGCCCACAATTTCCAGCCACTAGCGGAAAGAGCTGCACCGGAGTACACCAGGGAGTCTTTCTGCTGATCTCCAATGCCGAAGGCCAGCACTCCGAACACAGACGTGAAGAAGTAGACCACAAAGCACATGATGAGGCAGATGACGGCTGCCGTGTGCATACGCATCGTCGTTGGCTCCGGCTTCTGCTCCCGAGTAAGTTGTGGCACAATGAACTGATTGTTGTACGCGAAGACGACATTGTTGATGCTTGACATGTAGGTGAAGGCCGTGGCCGCCGTGGAAGAGAAAAACACATCGTCGTGGGTGGCAATGGTTTCATCTGCTCCGTGCTCGGCATAGTGCCACATGACACAAGCGACCAAGATAAGAAGAGCAGCGATGCTCCCTGCAGCCAGGTGCCGCATGCAGCTGACATGCCTGGCCATGGCCAGCGGAGCACAAACCAAGACGCCCGTGAGCACAATAAACAGCTTGCAATGAGGCTCTGATGCACCAGTGACCACTCCAACGAGTTGGCCGCAAATGATGAGGTAGCCAACTGCAGAACCAACGCAATTCACAGAGTTCATGAACCCGGTGAAGAGGGCCATCACAGGGTGGAGCAATTCATTGCACAAGTCCTCGTAGATGTAGCAGCCTGTCGCGATGCAAGCCGTGGCGATAAAGCGAATGCTGGCCAGTGAAAGAACGGCTGCTCCGATCAGCGCAACAGCTTGAAAAACGATGCCCACTTCCGCTGCGTGGCCTGCCATGGGCAAAATTCCTGGGCCAATAGCAGCCTTGCTAAGGCAGACGGCTGTGGGCAGGACGGCTCCATGGCTGAACAAGGAAAGGCGTCGGCCACCAGACTTCTCCGAGTCCGTAGAGAAGTCGCGAACAACGCACGTCGAGACATCGCTCTCGATCTCCGAGGTGTCCTTGACCTTCTGCACCCCGTCTTCGACCTGCGCAACGGACATGCTGTCGGAAAGCTCGGTCTGAGACTAATGGCGGTGAGCTGGGCTCCTGCTGGGCTATACTGGGCTGGTGGCTTGAGCCGTCGCCATCAAAGTTCGATCGTTTAGTTGGGCTTCGTAGACGTTTGTGAGCACGACTGCAACCAGCATCCCAGCTGATGGCAACAACACCCCAAGGCTGAGCAGAAAATCCGTCACCCAATGCGGTTGCCTCATGCTCGGTATCGCCATTAGCCACCATGCCAGCGCATCAATCACAATCACAATCCAGTGCTTACGTCATTGGTTAGGAGGAGAGTAGCCACTCGATCCAAGAACAGCCACACCACCGGACTAGAGGCCATGACGATTTGCCGGTACAGGTAAAGAGGACTTGAGCTCTCGAAGCAGAGTTGTCCGGACATGTCCCCGCACCAAGTGCTCGAAGTCAGTCGTACTTCCAAACCAGATTCCAATGCATTCAGCATGATGTCACAGTCGCAAGGAATCTGCTCGCCGGTCTCATCGTCCACGTGGTTCACGGTGCAGCACTAGCACTTCGCATCGTTGACTTGGAACTTGCCGAGTTGCTGCTGGCCAATGTAGACCAGACGAAGGAAACACGGCAAGAGGCCTGCCGATATCGTCAATCCCATGATCGCACCGAGCAGGATCACATCACTTTTCGCAAACGTTTGCAGCAAGTTCGGCCATGCAACAAGTATAACGATCAGGCCAGCCTTTACGATCAGCAGAACCGGTCCCATGAGGTTTGGTCGAATAGCTTCTGTTGGTCGGCTGCGAAGAAACGATGCTAGCTCGAACACACAGCAGAATCTCCTTGGCTGGCTTTGATGATGATGATGATGATCTCCGTCGGACAGTAGCCTTCTCCACCTTTGGTTTTGGTGTAGCTGCCGGCACAGAAAAGCTGCCAGCCAGCGCCAAGCTTCACATCTCTGTAGGCAAAGCAGGACTTTGATCCACCCCGACCCAAGCAGATGTTTGAGCCAACTTCGTCAGCAGCGCCGTCGGAGGGCCTGTGTTGATTATCCACGGCCATGCTGCAGCGCACTGGCATACAGGGCCTCCTTCCAGGGTTTGTGTTCGGCTTCCTTCCTTGGCACCTCCCATCTTGGAGGTTCTCCCTTCCGAGAGCACGGCGAACCCAAGAAGGGTCCGCTCAGGAATGGGACCTGAAGGCCCGGAGATGCAGCGAGCCAAAGTCGCTCAAAAAGGCACATCCCGCGCCAGATACCATCAGCCCTCCTCTCTCGCAAGGGTCGCTGGTACAGCTTCGAAAGAAGAGTGGCCCCTCAAGCCTCAGTCTGGCTCCTTCGCAGCTAAAGGCCCCAAAGCGTCGTCCACTAGTTGCTGTAGGCGATCCCCCCTGGATTTGCAGGGCTCCTTAGCTGCTGTCGCCTCCTGCAAACGCTTGAATTGCGGATAAAGTGAAGCCGGGCATCGATGAGCAGGAAGTAAGCACACATCAGGCCCAGCAAGACAAGCCCAACAAGGATCACGGAGCTCGCGGCCTGTCTCAAGGGACTGTGCCGAATCTGCAAGCAGAGGGCGTAGAATGGTGTGGAAAGGCTGTAGCAGTGACTTGAACCAATTAGCACGATTACACCCTGTGTGAGAGACGAGTTTTAAAACAATGGCTGTGAGCCGCTTTGGAGCCAGGAGCATGCGGGGAGCATTTCACCTTACGAGCAAATGAAGTTTTGGGAGTTGAGGGCTCGCAGGCGATGGAATCTGCAGCAGAGCTGATCTGAACAATTGCCAGGACATCGCGCATGCCTGAAGGAGCCGAAGAACATGACCTCCCGAGACCCGCTTGAACCTACGGCCAACTACGGCCAACTACCTGTCGGAAGCATCCCAACCCCTTTGACTTTCGGCCTCCAGTTCAGCCTCATCTTGTGCACCCTTGCAGCCAGAAGCCTCCACGGCCAGCCAGTTGGCGGCCAATAAAGGGAAATTTACCAAGACCTGTGACCGGGAGGTTACATGTTTTCGAGCCGCGGCACCCTGTTGCATTCAGGCTTTCGGTTCCTCAGCAGGCCAAGCAGTTGCAAGTGTGCTCGGCGGCTGGTAACACGGCACTGGGCCCTGCAACGGTGTTCCAATCCTATCAGAAGACTCGTCTGGTGCCTGTAGCACGTTCTGCCAGAACACCAAGTCCTTAGACAACGTCTTGTCGCAGACAGCAGCTAATGTGTTGGGGTAAGGAGTTTCCTAGTGCGCTGCTAGCTTGGAGCTAGAGCGCACTTAGCGCGGATGGCCCATGTTGTCGCGCATTTTTTGGCGTTGTGATGGCGATGATACATGATGCATGTGCGAGTGAAAAGAACAGGTTTACTTGCAAGGAAAGAAGCTTCTTCAAGCAATGCGCAAGTGGAGTGACATCGTGAAAGGATGCTCTACGGTACAATTGTGTGTAGTCGATGCTTTCGTCAAGTACAACTGCGTTTCAGGCATGCATTGAGGGAACTGTTGCTTGTTTTGTGAGGATCCGATGCCACGACAAGCTACAGTACACATGCGTTATGGCATCGGCTGTAGGGAACTGTGGCATCTTGTGCGAAGATATGATGCCACTAATCTACAGCACATCTACTGCGGTTAGGACATCGGTTGTAGGGAACTGTTGCTTTTCTGTGTGAAGACATGATGCCACAACAATCTACAGTACAACTGCGTTTACAGTAGGGCATCGGTCGACGCCCAGCGAAGTCAAGGGTGCGGACGAAAAGACGCCAGGGCAATAAGCGGAGACTAGGTGACAGCTTCAGCCAATCGCTAATGCAAAGGTAGCTTGCACGAGGCTTTAACCAGCTAAAACAAGCTCAGGAGCGAGATGACTGGTATGACAGTCCTGGTAGCAGCAGCAGCAGCAGCAGTGTACGGCTTATTATACTCTAAACTAGTAAATAAATATTTGACAAACCACTTGCTGGATCCCTAGCGCCAGGCCAGCGCTGTACTAGCGCCAACAAGCAGAATAACGAGCCTTAGTTACATGATGCCTCGTTGTAAATACAAACCAGACCCCAACAACCAAATAGGCTCGTTTTTGAAAACTTCGCGACAAGGTACAGTATTTAGGCCACTGCCCATATACATTAAATAAATGTGAGTGTGTATATATATATATATGCAATGTGTGTATATATAGTCTATAAATATGTATAGTATATATGTCTATTTGTGTTTATATGTAATCGTATTTGTACATGTTTATCTATTTATCTATCTATTTAGTTATTAATTGGTTAAATGTTATCTCTATCTATCTATCTATCTGTCTATCTATCTATCTATCTATATACATACGCGCAAGGAAAGCAAACGTGCCTGGCATTGGCGCGAGCCTTTCGTGAGCATCAAACAAACTCAGGCAGGAATAGTTTGTGCAGCTTTGCATAAGATCCAGCACCCCTGGCAATCCATCCCTCATCGCATGAAGCACAGCACGTCTTAAATGTGCAACATGACCAAAGCTTAACGACATCACAAAGCCTGGCTCGACTGCCAAGCGGCCGATCCCTTGCCGGCATCGTAGCAAAGCAAGAAAGTGTCGACTCGCGCGTGGATGAACTTGTCCAAGGGTCCGATCCTTGGAAAGTGTCAATGCATCGGGCGGCCACGGTATCCTGCCTTTCGCACATTCCTTACGCGATTGCTGCATCATGATGACAAGCCTCGCCGCTTGCGACGCTTCTACGTAGTTTGAAGGGTGCGATTCCTGACAGGTGTCGGAAGGAAGATTGCCATGGCCGCGAAAACTGCCGAACCGCCAATCCACACCTGGGCTCTGTGGGAAATGCTTGCACGGCTTTCTCAAGTAGCCTTTCACCCCATTCGCCTAAGATAATTATCGAACCGTTCCACAGGATCCCGTGGCCGATTGGGACAAGGCAGTTGCGGCAGGACCACTTGACAGGGTGCTACAGATTCAGCCTTAAAGCTCGCGAGGCTGATACTGGTAGGGCAAATGAGCATGCAGGCGAACAAAGCTTCACGGGGAGGTGGACGCCGCTTGACGAGTTTTCGACTCTGCTCGTAGCATGCATGACAGCCCACTCCGGCCAGCTACGACGGTTGTGCTTTCACATCCGGCTGCGCCCACGCATTTGCCAGGCCTGATGCCGATGTTCAGCATTGGCCTGGAGGTTGCCATGGAAGAGGGCTATGTCCACGTCGTGGTACATCAACCAGTCGTGCTCTGCTATAGCAAAGAGTGAGGTACTGGGCAATTTGGGCACACGAGTCACAGAATGCTCGTCAACCACCACCGTCACTTCTCCGCAATCAACCGGGCTGAGCGCTTTCAGGCGGGCGCCGAGGATCGACGTCTTTGATGCCACGACCCTCCCGAAGCGTAGCACCACACCCGACGCGAGGCCTTCGCTCTCCCTTGGATCCAGGTTCTCCGGCAGGGGAAAGGCGGCGCCGAGGTACTCTTCTGGCTGGGAGGCTCTCTTGCCAGCTCCCGCCTCCCAGGTCACCGGATTCGTGGCCAGGATCTTGCCTGTTAGCGGCAACCAGCCAGTTTTGTGAAAGATCATCCCGCAGTGCACGAGAACCATGTGCTGTGGGGCAGCGGTCCTCCAGCTCGACACTGAGCAAATGTCCGTCGCCCGGATGCTCGGCCGCACGTGGCGGAGAGTCTGGAACATGCGAAGCGGAACCGTCTGACCAGCGAGGTATCCATGCACGAAGCGGTCCCTTCGGGCAGGATAGGGCTCCACCTGGCGGCTGAGGGGCATGACTGCGCATACCCTTCTAGCACTGGCCAGCTTGCGGCACGGCGGAAGATCCTGCTGCTTGCTGTGGTTCTACTTTGGGTTCCCGCAAACCCTGCCTCCTCCTGGACCAACCGCATTAGGTGCATGGTTCCCTGGCTGTGCCCGGCCAGGAAGAAGGGCCTCGAAAGGCAGGAACTCTAGAGTACCGTAAGGCAACAGACCAAGGCTTTGGGTTTCTCAGAGCTCCATCAGCAGAGAAGTGATGACTCCAGCTCGCCGGCGTAAGGCCTGCCTCCCAGCATTCCCAGGATCTTCCACAAACTGCACGAAGGCAGTGGCCACATCCTCAGGGCACTGGCACTTGCAGAGACAGCTCCCGTCTTTAGCTGCAAGGCTGACATAGGTCTCGCTGTCACCTCTTCTAAGGAACTGAAATGCCCGGGGCTATGGTTCGGGTCCTTGTAGGCAAGCTCGATGGCCCCGCGAAGGTCCTGCTTGTGTGAGTTTTGGATTTCTCGCGAGATCGACTTTGGGGCAGGCACAGCGCAGGTTTGCTTGTGTACAGTACAGTGCTTCGAGGTGCTTCGAGTGATTGTGGAGGGGAAGGCTCGGAACTCAGTGCTGTTCATGGCCTTCGGCACGCTCTCCGTTGGGGATTTTGGATTTTGTCTTGAATCATTCTGGAGTTGAGGCTGTCATGCCAACTTCGTGTGTCGTCCTCCCAGCGCTGGGCAGGGGAGGGGGGCATGTACAGCGCCAGGGCCACCACGTTCACCTTCCGGAAAGGCTGGTCACCAGTGGGCACCGAAGAAGTCCGGCAATTGTCCAGAGGCTTCCCCAGCTTGGAAGGGTTTGCAGCAAGGAAAGCAGTACTCAAGACAATTTGTGCCGAGCAAAACCTGACCTGGCGGTACCGCGGCGCATACACTCGACAAAGGTGGTTGAACGGCGCAGCGCCGGCGGCCACACGGAGGTCCACCTGTTCGTCGACCTGCGCCCATGGCAACAAACAAGGCGAAACAGAAAAAGCAAGCACACGTCGGGAGAATGCAGCCTTCGCCCTCAGCTCTGAGACGTGATCCTTCCCAGGACGGTGACTTGGAAAGCTCATGGTAGCTCCAGGTTGCTGCTGCGTGAGGGAATGAAAGGGACTGCAAACCCCGAAGTCCTGCGGCAGGCGATCCTGGACGGGTGCAGTCCATCTTGGTGCCAACTCGCCAAGAAACGGCATGGACTCCTGCCTGTGGCAAATCTCTGCGGTTGGGCACTTCAAACGCTTTATTGCAGAGACGCTTGTGATTGAGGGCGCTGTAAGACAAGCGACATCCGCACCAACTCTGGATTTGGAGAGCTCTGCTAGTCAAGTCAAACTCCGAGTACACCAAATTGATGAGCACTGATATTCTCCAATGCCAATGTGTCATCCTCAAGTGCCTACAGCCCAAAAGCTCCCACAGGCAAAGTCACATGGTCAAGCAGGAGTCGTGCACGAAGAAGCAGTCGCATGGCCGGTCAGCCACCGGAGGTGGTGGCTCCACTGCTTTGCCCACCTGGGAGCTGGCTACAAAGGACGTACACATTGAATTAAATGACACGAAGCCTTTGGTCAAGCTGCTCATGGTCTTAACCTGAGAGCTGTTTAGGCTGCCGCTCAGATGGACCGTTGCTTTTCCTAGCTGGATGTTTCGGCAAGCATCAAGGGACATTGCACGTAACAGTGAAGGTGCGCAAGACAAACGATTGAATGATTGCAGAAAAGGCCAGTTCTAGGCAGAAGCAGCCCTTCCCGATTGCATCTCTAGCACTCGCACCTGATTTTTCTGAGACTCGAGCGACAAATTCTGCAGTATGGAACAGGTAAATGGAAGCTAAGGAACAGAACTAGAACCGCGAACCGGAACCGATTCCTGTGGAACCGCTGGAACCGAAATGCCGATTTTAAGAACCGCGAACCTGCCGAACCGAACAGCCAGCTCGGTTCTTAGCTTTGTGTGCAACAACATATCTTCATCGCGAGCAGGAGGCGTGACGCGGGGCAGTACGGTGATTTTAGCATTTTCAAACCCAAACGTACCCAAAGCGGTACTCCTGCGCAATTTGGCACGTCCAAGCTCACAGGTGCTACACTCATTGTGTACTCTCACGCGCTCCTCGCCCTGCACGAACACGATGAACCACCTCAAACTGATCTACAAGTAGCCAATACTGCTGTGTTCCCGCTGAAAGGCGGAGTGTTATGACGTGAAGTACCGCGCCACATTCTGTACTCCCGCGTCCTCCGGCTTTGTAAAAATTTGGCTCAATGATACCGCCAAACAGACACACTGTATCATTAAAGGGGCCGCGTGCTGCAATTCGCATTTTCAGATCCAACTTGTCGAAAAGTGTACTCCCACGCTTTCCTGGCCTCGTGGGAGTACAGAATTTGGCACTTCAAAGCCCGAGGTGCTAAATTGTGCACGCCCGACATTCCTGCCCGGCAGGGAGACGATGAAGCTATAGCAAATTCTGTACTCCCGCGGCGTGTAAGAGGCGCCGCACGGGGGAGTACATCTTTTAGCAGTTTCATGCAGGCCCAAACGTGCCCAAAACTGGCCTCCCGCTAGTTCCCCGGCCCCATCCTCAAAGGTGCAAACTTTTGCACTCGCGCGTTTTGATGCTTTCCAAAGGATATACAATGTTTAGCGCAAGGACACGGCAACAAAACAATGCCATTATGACCAAAAAGTCACGACCGCCGTGTGCTTGGGAAAATAGAAGTCGCAGCGCAGTAAGCTGAATTTAGTAGGAACCGTCAGGAACCGCGAATCTGAACCGCCATCTCAAAACCGCAAGCCGAACCGACTCGACCCGTTACATCCATACAGATGGGAACGCATCTTTTCCAATATGCGTGCTTGTTTGCATCTGGCCCGGCGAAAGCTGCATGGTGCGGCTGGAACGCCATGATTGCCCATGCCGGGAGAGACACAAGTCGAAACTCACCCAACATTAGCCTAGCACCAACACTTGAAGCCCAGGCCGCTGGGGTGGCGAGGTGATTCACATCCTCCACTGCACGTTGGCCAGCGAGCCGCTGCGGGTGGGCACTCCACCTCAAGCTTCCGACAAGGCTGCCTTGAAGAGCCACCAAGCCCGGGCAGGTACCTACTACGACTACTTACTACGACTACTGCCACTCCTCCTACCTACACTACCACCTCACAACCACGGCTACCACTACCGTGCCGTCAGTCCAAGCACATAAATCACGGTTCACTCAGGCCTGCATCACAAGCGATGTGGACAAGACAATGTCGCATCCAAGGTGCCCGGCCAGGCTGCGGTAGTCCAGTGGCGTGTCCTGCTCCTTTCAAGCTCCGTTCTCACCCAGCATCCATGTAGACACCCGAACCGCGATGGTGGCTTCGGCTCCGGACACACTTGCAAGACGTCGGCCTTCCTTTAACATGCCATCCCAAATGCCCCAAGCCTCAAATGCAATGCAACAAGGCCGAAAACTCAGCTAGCGCAGCCAAAACGTGAATCTACTCCGCGCACGTCAGTCTTGGGACCTCCTTCCGGAAGGGCGGTCTGGGGATGCAGCGCAGCAGCCACGGCAAGCGAAGTGCTGCAGAAGCCAACCTTTTGCAACCGCCCTAACCCGACCAAGGCACTACTTTATCTTGCCTGCATCACTGTTACTGTTACTATACCTATGATCGATGCACTTTCGCTTTTCGAACCTGGCCCTGCAAAACCTTTGGCATTCGGCCTAGCAGCAATCGCCCTGAGTTGGCCCGTGTCAGCACCTGAGCAAACAGTCAGGACCATGGGAAGAACTGAGGTCACGCTGACCACAAGAAGTTGTTAATGCACCATCAGCATCACGTCTAAGCAACAAATGGAAGTTAAATGCCGACCAACAAATCATGCAAGAAATTGGATAAGCGAGAATAGAGGCAGCACGAGGAGCACTGCAGGAATGACAGCAGCAAATCAAGTATGCACGACCATTGGTGGCTGAGACCCACGATGATGAAGACCCTAGTAACAGTCACAAGGCGAGGAGTGATTAGCACTTCTGACACTGGGGACATGTAGGAGTGCTAGCACTGAGATCTCCAATTCGCAGGCCGACATGAGCAGCTCCAAAGGCTTAAACCCTCAACTCATCAAGTCCAGGAGCGTGCCAAAGCCTGACTCGCCGACGTGGCTTCTGCGGCGTCGTCATAGCGCCAGACATTCTGACGTGGCACGTTTTGTACCGATGACGAGTGCTGTTGCTGTTGCTAGCAGTATCAAGTACTGTGTGGGTGTAGTAATGATGGTGGCGGTGAGTAGGTGCAGCTGTAGCTGCAGCTGCTGTGGTTGTAGGAATGGTAGTAGTACTAGTAGTACTTGTTGTGTTAGTAGTTCTTGTAGTACTAGTCATAGCAGCAGCACTCGCTGCAGCAGTAGCAGTAATCGTCGTCGCTGGCACTTAGCAGCAGCACAACACGTGGTATATACGCGTAGCCATCGTCGTCGTGATGGGGTGATACCAACACAGTTGACTGTAGCGGTAGTGGTGGTTCTCTATCTCGTAAGTCGTCGTAGTGTGGAAGCAGCCGAGAGTTCGGGGAACAGAAGTACTTGCAGCCATTGCAGCAGCAGTACTAGGACGTAGGCAGCTTCTACTACTTCAAATACTTCTACTCCTTCTAGTACTAGTACATGTACTACTACTACCACCACTACTACTACCACTACTACTACTCCTCCTCCTCCTCCTCCTCCTGCTGCTGCTGCTGCTGCTGCTACTGCTGCTACTGCTACTGCTGCTACTGCTGCTACTACCACCACTACCAC